TATATATATATATATATATATATATATATATATATATATAATTTAATAAGGGAGACAATGGCCTATGTTTACTAATGGTGCGTCATTTTTTTTCAAGGAAAATTTTGAAGTACGTCCAATTTATATATTTATAAAAAAAAATGTAACAAAAGAATAACGCAATGCAGAAAGTATGTATTACACATTACCTACAAAAGTTTACACAAGATGTTGCGTTGAAAGCGTCGTGTTATCGAAGACACTAAAAACTGAAATGTTGGGATATTTCATTTATTGTAAAACGATGTAAAAATGGGTCATGGAGAAGAATGTTATGAAAATGGAATTAAGACGTACCTTATTGCTTAAATTATTCGTCTACTTTGGCGGAAAAAAATGTTTAGCCGAATCGATCGCAGAGAGCAATTTCTTTTCTCCTATGCCGTACGCATACATATACTGAGGCTATAGATTAAATTTACTAATATGTAATTTATTGATTGAAAAAAGATCAAGTATTGATTTTCTTAAAATTTTTTATTCAGTCTTGAGGATTCAAGTGTAAGTTTTGATTTTGCGCCAATAGCAGACAAATGAAAAAAAAAACGTTTGAGATGGTTTGGCCGAGTAGCAATCAGGAAGAGTGAAAATATAAATATAAGTTAAAGGGATTATAGTAGAAGGATTTCGGGGTAGAGGTTATCTAAAAAAGAAGTGGGTGGATCTGATAAATAAAGACACGGAGATGTATGGCGTGAATAAAGAAATAGCGATGGTTAGAGATATGTTACAACGGTGGATTTGGCTGGCCAATTCCATTTGTGTTGGATAATGCCAAGAAAAAAATCAATTATTCTTTACAAATTAGATTTACAATACATTTAGACAATACATTTAGACTCAAAGATTAAATATAGAATACAATTGGTAGTTATTATTATAAACTAAAAAGATGGATTTAACTTACAAAACCATTCTGTCAAAAAAAAAAAAAAATTCCTCATAAAATAACTGGAATAATAAGTGATTGATTATTCAGATACTTTAAAGGAAACGCAAATCCTAATGGATAATTGGTGCTCGAAACTTTTGGATCGATTCAACCATATCAATCTCTAAAAAGTAATACTGTAAAAACTGAAAAAAATGAAAATAGCATCGTTGTAAGAACGATATCTTAACAATTTTGCGTTGAACATATAATTAATTAATTTTAGATTATCATTCAACTTTATTTTGAATAATTAGGCATTGAAATTAATTAATAGTACTACTTACTAGTTACTTTAATGAGTGCATTGACTAACTAATATTTGATAAATGACTGATAGAAAAAAAAGAACAGTTTTTTCATTATTTAAATTTTGTTTGTAATACTTACACATTTCCGTTCAACATTTTATTGTCTTTAAAGTAATGAAAAGGTTATCTGGTGCCATTTTTTTTTTATTTAGAACATATATTTTTTTCAACTACTAGCATTTTTCAAGGACATTTTGTCATTATGTACAGTATTATCTATAAAAAAACGCAGCCAACCAGAAATATGATTAAAAATTGACATTTTGATACTAAAAAAAACCAAGAAAAAATGGAGTATGTATTTGGCAGACCTTTTAAAACGATTATTCGTACTTAGGTTACTAAAAATCCTCGAAGCGGATTAAAATGACAAAAAATGAATGAAATCAACACCCTCCATAGCTATGAGACATAAGTTCTGATGAAGTTTTTAAATCAAAATAGTAAACGACCATGGACGTTTTCACTTATTTAGCCGAATATTAATTAGAAGTTTTCAAAATTGTAAACATTTTCCTTAACATAAGGTTCTTTTTGGTAGTGTGCTTGAACCGTTGCAATCACATTTAATGAATAAACTTGCCATTAGTGCTGCCGGCTGAGCGTTTGCGGCTCGACGTTTCCCGGCTTTTCGGGATGTAATATGATTAATTTTCTAAAATGACCGAGCAACATAAATCCTTGGCGTTTCATGTAGGATTTCAAATGGAAGAAAGGTACAGTAAGAACATCACGGAAACACCAACGAATAATTAATGTGCACACGAAATTAAACAACCGACTAAGCACAAGTAATGTTAAAACGTTTATTCGCTCTTCAGTACAGTGATTTCTGGTTAAAAATATTACCGTTATCTTCTTTAAAGCGACACTAATGTTATTTTTTTATATTTATAATCAAAAAAGATTTATATTCAAACCACCGGCGTAGAAAAAAAAATATATTAATATTATCATTTTGCTCGCCTACTTATCTATATTATTATATCGAACATTAGTTTTATCGTTGGTTCAATAAATGCATGAAAAAAAAATATTCTGATAACTTAATGTATACTAATATGCCTAAGGGGTCCGGATAACGCAATCGCATCGATTACACGTTCAATTGCAATAAATGTTTTGGAGAAAAAAAAAGAATTTCCTTTTTCAACATCCAAGATACATACAAATACTTTAGAGCAATTATTGGAAATACTTCCAGATTAATTAACCATTGACTATTTACCGGTTGATTATATATCGAGCACATTTGTTAAGAGGGAACAGATTTTATAATGAATTGATCATTTATTGGTATAATTTGTTTTCAACTAAGGTAACTCACTACATGTTCAGTTTATATTAGCAGTTTAATGTAAAATATTTTACTGTGATTGCATATTTATAACACAACATATTCCAAATTTGTTAAAAGATTTTAAATAATCAAATCGTCTACAGCTTAGTTAGAATTCAAAAGACTTGATACATAACTATAACAAAACATACATGCCATGATCATGTCCGAGTGTATTATTGCTGTACTGGTGTAGTTAAACATCTTTGATTGCAAAATTGCTCGTACTATTTTCCACGCTAATTTTTTTTCATTTTTATTAAAGACAGTTTACCGTTGCAAACACAGACAGCAGTATTATACTTATGCACTTTATGTATTGACAGAATGTCAGAATTGTCTTTCGCCATTCCAGCACAACCAATAAAATCTAGCAAGTCGTGCACAAACATCGGTCACCGCGTTGCAGAGTGCAAAGAGCAGTCAAGTCACTCGGTATACGTATCACAGTTTACAACTCTCTATTTTATTTATACTAGTTGCGGGGTCATGAACTTTTAAGTGCACATGCTATTTGTCTCCATCAGAAATAACCGGCTGTCTCAATGGCCATGTCGACTAGGATGTCACAAGATTCAAAATTGTTTCCTCGACAGCTACGACCGCCACAGAATTGTTGCCTAAGTTTATAGGATTCTAGGTTTCGTCAACTCCTTGCCTAAGTTAGGTCATTACGAAATAAATAAAACTCGGTAGTATCTTATTATCACTAGATATTGGACCGCAAGCGTTGTGACAAAATACATGTAATTTGTAGGTAATACAATAGGGATTTCGATAATAAGCTTGGAATTTGAGATTGGCTCTCGTGTTTTAGTTTCCATACCATTTACGAGATCCATAACGTAACTGCCAAATAGATATCCTATTTCTGTTCACACAATACGAACTCATTCTTTCAATTGCGTTTGACCATTGAACTCAATTAATGCAACACGTATCGCCTATAGTCGGATGTTTATGAAAATGTCCACTAATAGGAGGCTGCCATTTTGCGAGTAGTTGTTGTTTTGTCCGTGATATTTATTGTTTTTCCAATGATTTATCAAATAAAAGACGAAGTTATCATCACATTTTAATACGTATCACGGAAAAGTGACGTAGCATTTTTACTTTCTATGGAATTGGTACACAAAATAGCTGCCTTCCAGGTGGCAACATTTTTCAATCTGAATACGCGTTCCATATATTGAGTTCAGTGCGTTTGACGTATCACAGTTTGCACTACAACGAAATTGTTTCATATCCAGTAATGTGACAATACATTTTAATCGTCTGCTTTTTCCCATAATATTATATTATAATCACTTTATCAAACCTTTGCCTTAACTGTTCTTCCGTGCCGATGCCCTTAACCGCGTTAACGGTTTACCGGCCACTCTAAAAAGTTTGAAAATGTTCGCATAAAATAAAAGTAACTGGTGTTCTTTATTTCGGCGAATCGCGTATTTCACGAGTTGACGGAAAAGTCTTGTTTATTTCTTGTAACAAAACAAACTGGCATTAATTACTTCGTAAGCAATTGACGTTCACTAATTAATCTTGTGTTATAAGAAACCGATCGTTCGTCAGTGTTACAGTTGTTTACTTTTTATTCTGCAAAATCATTTATCGAAAAAATGAATCCCGGAGATTATCCCTAACCATCGTTAATGAATTTAATGTTATCATTGCATCGTTTTACTTTGCTATACAAATATGTTAATATTGATTAATAATAGTAAACGTATCGACTTACTGGCGTTTAATCAATCAGTTATTGAATCCGATGAATAATTAATTATGGGTACGTAGCTGACAAGTGAGTAACCAGCTTACTCTAGAATAAATCACTTGCGTTCATAATGAGCAAATCATTTCGCAAAATTACGAAAAAATTCCGGTAAACGTTGTTCATCCAATCTCGACAAAACTACCATTATTGATCTCAAAAGGATAAAAAGCTTTGAGTGTTAAGTCGTAATAAATTTCAAAATTATGGCCATCATTTCAATGGCTTAGTACTTACATACATTAGTTATATCCGTAATGCGTTAATGCATCAATGTACATAAGATTAAATTTGGCGTTTTAATGCCGGCAAAAAGAAACTGGAAATGTTGATAAAACATGTTAAATGGAATGAAAACAATTTACGACTACTTCCGTAGAGTTTGTGGGGGAAAAAGAAACTAAAAAAAAATGTTATTAATGGAATGGTGTTTTTATAGCGTTTCCGATTTGTCGTTTTTTTTTATTGTAGATCCGTTTCTTTGTCGACCGCATAAAAGCAAACTTGTGTTTTGAATATTTATTAATAGTATAGTTTTGGTAGGCCTAAGGATCGTAATGGCTGCCGTCAATGTTTAACGGTTGAACGATTGGCTAGTTCACGCTCGGACAGCAATCGTTTATGTACGGAAAACAGATGCCAAAACTTACCTGAAGCACTCGAAGTCGGAGGACCATTGCGAAGGGATAGGTTTTGGGCTCTGGTGAGTACACAGTTTTATCGTCCAGCAGTTCATTATCTTCTCCCAGGATTATTACGGGATCTTTCCGGTGATTTAATCTGATCGCCTGCGGGACACACGACAATGTTCATTATTTAATAATTTTCAGTTTTCAATTACGCTTATATCCTACTATACACACACACACACACAAGGGGTAGGTAAACCAATTAGCTTCCAATACTAATACCTGTCTCTCTTTTAAAAAAACATAACTTCTTAGCTCCGTATCGAAGATACAATCACTGAACTCAATATATGGAACGCGCATTGCGTTTAGTTGGCTGTTCATGGAAATTTCCATTAGTGGGAGGCCGCCATATTGAGAACAGTTACTGTTTTTTCTATGATTTATCAAGTATATTACCGTGTTATCACTTAAATTGTAGAGATAACATTTTAATACTTATCATGGAAAAGTAACGTAACATTTTTATTTTCCATAAAAATGTAAGCAACATGGCTGCATCTCAGGTCAGTACATACTTTAACCCGTCCGTTTCCACCCTATCCGAATGCGTTGTATATATTGTGTTCAGTGATTGGGCTCAATAATTTTTACCGTAATAAACAATAGTCGTTGACCCTAATTTATTTTTTCACTTTTTGCCATATTTATGCATTCGATAAAAGGTATTAGAACTGGATTTGGGTTTTGTGATTTTATATTGCGAGCGTGAACGCTCAATAAAAAAATAAATCTATAATACTCTATAAAAAAGATAAATTGATGTAGCCTTATATTTTGGGACAAACGTCCGGTCGTATTAACGTTCATTAAAGGATTAATGAGTCCATTAGACGTTTTTTTATAGTGGTTTCTTAAACATCAAATAATGGCTCGTGTTTATGGCTCATTAAATTTTAACAAACCGTTTTAAAAATTACCATTTTTTTTATTTGAGCACGCGAGATCCGGTATATATATTTTTATTTTATTTGGTATTCACTCCGAAATCTTTATACGTTAATACGTTAATACGTTAAGACTGTTTATAATTATTATGAGTTTTTTTTAATTAACTAATTTATTTATAGTCACGTCCATATTAAGTTGTAGTGTGTAGACAAGACAATAATCTTTTTCAAGTAGTTTTTTTTATATCAATATTTCAATTTACGCAAAAGCACTCGGCGAAACAAACAAATTGTGAAAAGGAGTGTTGTATCTGTCAATAATTTGGTTAGGTTAGATTATACTTATTTTATTATTAGAGTGAGTGGGGTAATTGTAAATGAAAGAGACAACATTTGTACTACATTTACGCGTTATATGAACTTAAAGAGAACTGCATTAACGACATGATTATTTATATGCACATTCATAGCTTAATGTTAAAGAACAGCTAAAGAATTTTTAAACCTAATTATAAGATAAACCGCCCTGCATTAGAGACTCTAATATTTACATAATATTTACCGGTCAAAGGTCATATAAAAATAATTAATAACGCCATTTAAATTTAGATTACACGTTAAATATTGTTGAATTCGAATTACAGGAAATGCACAAAATAACTATTACACTGTTTTTATTTATTACCGCATTTGAGATGTTATTTCAACTTAGTAATCAATGCCGATTACACGTTAAATGTATTCCATCTAGTTTTATGTAAATTAAATGGTTGACCTAGTAAATTGTTCATGCTAATATGATTGAAAACCTATCGGGACTTTCTTAACTTGTGAAACTTTTATGGGGTAGATTATTTGGAATGAACCATACTAAAGGACGTGACAGTCGGCAGTGGTGACAAGACTCGCGGGAAAAGTGTTATTTTAAAACAACCATCTTGTCTAATAACAGACCGGATAAGTAATTGCTAAACTTTGAGTGTGAGTCAAAAGTTCTACCGGATGCGAACACTAAGATTCTAGAATTGTTTAACTTTGTCAATTCACATTGTTGTTTTGTATAGTCGTGACGTTGATATCAATTTCAATAGAATATCATACGATTTCCAAATGTTCTCATTAAGTAGACGATGCTTGGTCGTGTTATTATTGCTAGTAAAACTGAATAACTAACATAAAATATTTAAATTATCATAACCATACAATCTGGAATTGGATGACAAGTAAAACCCTTTTAGTAATAATTGTATTTGTAGTGCACACGTCAAATTACATGCTATCGCGGTAGCATTAGCGTTACTTAACCCGATGTGGTACTATAAACAAAAATGGAAATTTTTGTTGTTTAAATTGTATATTTTAGCACAGTACAATGTCACATGCGGCTCCGTTAAGCTCTGGTGACGGACTAACGACCCGTCCCGGGATTTCAAACACTTAAAAAAAACCTTTTCTCACAAGGAAGCAGCGTCGCGTCGGCCCAAAATAGGCCACTCAAGTAAAAAGTAATATTTTGTTTTTGTAAATATTCTTGTCGTATTATAATGTACGCAAAAATCGACATTAAGCTGTAGGTATTAGACAACAGAGAAAAAGAAGTATGAATCTTCTCCAACTCTTAAGTTTTTAATCATATAAACTTTTGCGATTAATTTATTATTCCCAGTTTTAAAACGCAATAACTAGCTTTAGCTTCGATTTGTTTTCTAATAATGGGGTTATTTTGAAGTCTTTTTTTCTCATTATCACGTAATTCAACTATAAATTTATTTCACTAATAGCCGACGAAAATTTAATTTCAATGTTATAATAATTCAGTTATATAGCCTACGCCCTACAGTGATGAACTTTATGTACATCATCGGTTTGTATATAAGACATTTATTATAGGCTGTCTGTACATAAATTATGCAAAACCATTGTGAACTTGAGTAATTTGTATTTGAGGAACGGAAAGACATATTCTAGCGACGCAATTTCAACAACCGTATTAATCCTATGAAAGGCGTATAAATGCGAATAGTATGCAAAGTAAAGCGTCTAACTTCATACTATTTGGTTAGGTTTTAATTACAATAATAGCGTTCTTTTAGTTAAGTTACAAATTTAAGTATAATATGTAAATTATATAATACTTACAAGGATTGCACGTTTATATTTTTCTCAAAAGAAAAAACAACGAATGAAATATAGTGTTATTAATTTAAATGTATAATATGTATTAATTTTCTATTTTATCAAGAAGTAGAGACTATAATAAATTATAGAACTTATTCAATTAAAAAATAAAATAATAATACTGATAAACAATATTGATTAAGAACAAGAATATAATTCATTTTAATCCCATGAAAAATATAGGTCACATAAATCTAACTATTTAACAGGGAAATTGTGGGCATAATAATTAGTGGTGTTTTAGTACAAAGTCTTAGTTTAGGAACTTTACAATTAATACCGTTGATAAGGATTTTGAAAAGAAATTTACTAAAAAAATAATCTAAATCGGCATTAAGCTCACTAGCGGATTTAGCACTAACATTATGTTAACTAGACGTACAAGCCGTTAACAGTTATCGATTAGTGACATCTGGAAACCCTCGCGGAGAATTAAACCAACTTCCCAGAAGTCAGAGGAATTAATATAATCATGCAAAGCTAAACTATCCACATTAATTGTGTAAAATATAAATATCGGATTTAATAATTGATAGTTATAAAACGAAGCAGACACTATATGAAAAAAAAATTTAAGGAAAAAATGTTTTTTTATTGCCCTCATCACTCGCCATTTGGAATACTTTCTTATCAACTGCATATAATTTAACAAGTTTAGGCTCGTTTAATAGTTAAAAGAAAATACAAAGGAGAACAATGCTTCAATCTATAAGAACGTGTTAATTAATGACGACTTTTGTTTCTACAATTCTGTTTTTTCTGTTCGATGACCGCATAGACTCATAATGGTATTTTATTGTGAGATCTGTTTCTATCTATCTGAACATCTACCGATTTTAAATAGTATGTACTATCTAGTTGGTACTTAAAGAAACAACAATTTAACTACTTCCCTATGTCATTCTTTTCGCACAACCCGTTTTACGATAGTTTAAAACACTATAGTACCGTATATTATTAGGCACAGTGATTTTAGACAAAGAGATACTAATTTTTTATTAAAACCTTCCAAAAAAACAAATTCTAAAATTAAATTAAAAAACTCTCCTTTGAGGCAATTTTTAATTTACTAAATTAAAATTATTAGCACAAAAAATTGTTTTAAGTTGTATGTAGCTGCTATAACTTTGTAGAGTAACATGTTGTCAACCAATTGTTTTTAGAGTCATATTTAAAAATAGTTTACAATAATTAAAAATTCAAGCGAATTTTTTTATTTTTAACAAATTTAATAATTGAACTACTATTTCTAGTACGTAACCTATATAAATCGCTTTACATAAGTACATTACATCATATTATAAAATACATTAAATTAATTTCAACATTTTTATAACATCTAACTTTCTAGACATTTTCCAGAAAACAATAAATTAATTTTATTCAATACAACTAAACGCCTAATTAATTCCATCAGAATACATTTTTTAACTATAAAAGGAAATATTAAGTGAGTATAATATATTACTAATTACTTTTTTCAAAGAATGATTGCACTTCCACTTCCACAAATTTACTGTTGTAAATTTTGCAATTTATTGTAGAGTTACAATATACATTATGACGAGTAGACCGATTCATCTACTCATAACATACCCTTGGCGCAGAACTATTTAAGAAGATAAATCGTCGAGTGTGGCAACGTTTCTACGACAAAATGTATTTTTTCTTTATTGTTAGGCACGTAAATGGTAAAGTAATTGCGTTGAAGCCCAACCATTCTACACTTTACATTAAAGTGTAATTTACAAAAAAAAAACATTTTTTTTTTTAAAAGCCGCCTACCGTGTGTGTCGAGTTGATTGATTTTGGTACTATGTGTAATATGTTGGACGTGCCAAACGAAATTATTATATTTTTATACTTCTAATGCGCTTTTATAATGTCTTTTTTTTCAACAGTCAGTCGTTTATACAACAGCAACATACATACATAATTGATACAAGTCGTTGAATATAAGCTTATGAACGAGTAATAAACCGACTCTTTAAAACATCAAAGACACACAGGCCGACATCTCTAACATTATAA